GGGGAGGCTGAGGCAGGAGGATTGCTGTGAGTTCAAGAACAGCCTGGGCTACATAGTGAGTTCCAGTTCAGTCTCAACTACATAGTGAGACCCGGTCTCAAAAAACCAAAAAAAAAAAAAAAAAAAAAAAAAAAAAAAAAAAGAAAGAAAAAGAAAGAAAGAAAATAAAAGAAAAAAAAATTCTGGCTGACAGTCAACAAAGAAAGCTCAGTTCTGCAACCATCAGGGACCGAATTCTGCCCACACCATGAAGGAGCTTAGAAGCAGATTTCTCTCCAGGGTCTCCAGAAAGGACTGCAGTCCCGCTGACACACTGATTTCAGCCCGGGGAGGCTCCAGGCACACAGCCAGCCGAGCCCTACCTCGTGGACTTCTGACCTCCGGAGGAGGAGACCGCAGAGGGGCAGTAAGTTTTCTGCCCGCAGTCCGTGGGCTGGCAGGGGAGCCGCAGAAAATGAATGGCCCGGCTACTGTGATTTTGGCCCGTTGTGCCCGAGATCCTGAACCCACGTCACTGCCGTGGGGCAGCCTGCTGTGCCTTCGCTTCTCTTACTGCCGTGTATCGTCCAGGGCCACTGTGCCCGCCTCTGCCCTTGCTGTCCTCCCGCTGCTGCGCGCTGCTCGCCGCTGGAGGTAGGTCCACCCCGCTCCCGGGGCTCCCGACTCGGGTCTGCGGTGGGGCCCAGAACGCGTGTTTCTCACCAGCTGTCAGTGGTTCTGAGGCTGCTGGTTGCGGGGCTTGGTGGGGGTCATCCCGACTTCCCGGCATCTGCTCGGGAAAATCACCCAACCCAGCCGACTGCTGTCATTTACCGTCACGATTACAGACGAAAGGGCCTTCGGTGACTGTCAGACTGTGTTTTCTACTTTCCAACCAAGTCCCTTTGTCTCTCCCAGGCCCATCCTGTCCTCTCTTCTCAAACCTCTCCGGCCTGCTCACCTCACTTCCACAGAGTGAGGGGAAGGGGACCGCTCACCTCCCTGGAGGCTCCGGCCCTGCCTGGGGCTGCTCTTGCCCCCTCTTGCCGTGGAAGGCTGGGCGTCTCCTCCTGGCTCTGCACCCGCCATTCCCACCTTTAATCAAGCCCCCTTCCCACCACTTCGGGGCTGACCTGCATCGCCCCCGACGCTCCTTTAGCCCTCCCTTGCCCCCCTGTCTTCTGCAGCCACCTCATCATCCTTCTCCAGTGTCACCTCCCTGCGTTTCTACCTCCTTGTTCCTCTTCTGCTCTTTGCAAAAGGGAGTGGGTATTCACTGACTAACACATACTCCATGAGGGTCCGCTCTTTGTTCAGTCCTGTCCTGTGTTCCCTGCTTTCTTGGATAAAATCAAATATGGCATCACAGCTAGTGCAGGAACTAGGCAGAAGACAGAGGGTTTCCTTGACTCGGGGGCATTCAAGAGGTGCATTTTGCACTGCCCCACTGCACCGGGAGCAGTGAAGTGCTGGGAAGGCAGGACGAAGGCTCCTGTCCTCATGGGGTTGGCATTCTGGGGGAGAATCTAGAAGACAGGGAGCAACAATAGAAAGTCAAATAATGGGCCTGGTGTGGTGGTGCACGCCTGTAATCCCAGCACTCGGGAGGCTGAGGCAGGAGGATCGCTGTGAGTTCGAGACCAGCCTGGGCTACGTAGTGAGTTCCAGGTCAGTCTCAACTACATAGCGAGACCCTGTTTCAAAAACCAAACAAACAAACAAAAAAAAGTCGATTTTTACTGTGGGGTGGGAAGAAGCCAAGGGCGCCGAGCAGAGGGGTGATGTGACTTTGCTTACATTGTCTGTTGTATGAAGAGTAGGCTGAAGGTGGCAAGGAGACGAGGAAGAAGCAGGGACTAGCGTCGGTATACGCTGTGGCGAAGAAAATGCCGTGCGACTTAGAAGGAGTTCAACGGCAAAGCTTCTGTTACTACGATCCGCGGTTGTGTGGGTCAGGAATTCTGCTGGGGCTCGGCAGGCCTGGCGGTCTCCGCACCGTGCTGTTTCTGCTGGGCCGGGAACACTGACGACTTCTTGGTTCACGCAGCTGGCAGGACTCCCACAGATGGGCACCGAGGCCCACAGCTCCCCTGCGGCCGCAGGTCTGGGGCTTGGCCCGTGCCGTGGGGTGAGGCCTTGCAGCTACTCTCTCCTCATGGCCTCCCGTGAGGAGGAGCTGCGCTTTCCACACGGCAGCCCGGGTTCGCACAGGGCACAGGTAGACGGTTCGGGCTCACCACAGGCCCAGCTCGGAGCAGAGGAGAGGTGCCACTCACCGACACGAGCACGGCAGCCGTGAGAGGGCCCTGAGCTCGAAGGGACTGCAGTCATCTAGGCAGAGGTGTGCGGACCGGGGTGCTGGCAGTGGAAGCGGTGGGGATTGTTGGTTTCTGGGTGTGTTTCCAAGGTAGGGTTCAGAGAGCGGAGTCAGGGAGGACTCAGCTTCCTTATTGAGCACCTGGAAGATCCATCGTGCGAGGCAGAGGACTAAGGGAAGAGCAGGGCTGGGGGCTAGCCGGAGCTCAGGTTCAGAGTTTCAAGTTTGACTTCTATGGGACGGAAACCAAGGAGCATCCAAATTCACGGATTTGGAGAGGTCTGGTGCAGACGCGTTACAAGCTGTCAGTGGAGGGATGGTGCCCACAGCCAGGAAACAGATGAATGAAATCTCCAAGGCAGCCTGAAAGCAAGAAAGTGAAATTCCCAGGGGGTGGAAGAGAGCATGTATTTTTTTTTTTTTGTACTGGGAATCGAACTCAGGACCTTGAGTTTGCTAGGCAGGCGCAGCTCCACTGAGCTACATCCCTGGCCCCGGTGGTTCATTTTTGAGCAATGCTGACATGGCAATAAGAGATGAGACCTAGAGCCAGGGATGTAGCTCAGTGGTTCCGCCACCTGCTTCGCAAGCATAAGGTCCTGAGTTCAATCCCCGGTACCAAAAAAACAAAAAAAATGAGGCCTAGATCCCAATGGCGCATGGAGTGGAGGTCTCACTGGAAAGTCTGAAAGAGTCCACCAAGCTGTAGAAGGATGAGGGGAAACTGGCGCTCTGTAGAAAAATTCCAAATGGTGTGGAGGAGATTCTGTTCCTAAGATCTTTTGGACAGAAGGAACAGTTTCTACAGAGACTCAAGGATCAAAAATACATCTGAATTCTCTGCTTTTTTGTGACAGACTAGAAGGCAAGGGAGTACTGCCTTGAAAACACGTGAAACCCGGCACAGTGGTGCACACCTGGAATCCCAGCCCTTGAGAGGCCAAAGCAGGGGGACCACTTCGAGGTTCGAGGCCTGCCTGGGCTACGTGGATCTATAGATGAAAAAGTAATCTTCAACTTGAAATTCTCACCCTTCCAAGATATCAAGAGAGAGTAGGAAAAATATTCTCAGACACAAGGAGTTTCGAAAATGGTTGTTTCTAAAGCCCTCTGAGAATACAAGAGGAGGATTTGCCCCAGTGAAACAAAGAGATAAACCAAGAAAGGGACTAGGTGTTCATCAAAAGAGAGATGAACAGAGAATCCAAGATGACTGTGTGCTCCAGACCTTGGGACAGGCAGGCCACTCTGGAGCAAGTCAGGAGGCCATGACTTGAAGAGGGACGTCAAGTTGAAGATGTCGATAAATAATGTGAACACTTGTGGAGAGGAGACTTACACAACTCAAGGAATGCTGCATTGCATTACGGTAAGCACATACAAAACTAAGTGAAGGGCTGGATGAGGTGGCACCTGCCTGAAATTCCAGCCATTTGGGAGGCTGAGGCAGGAGGATCACAAGTTTGAGGCTAGCCTGGACAACTTAATGAGACTTTGTCTTAGTATAAAAATTCAAGTGTTGCGGATGTCTCTCATGGTAGAACTCTTACCTAGCATGTGCAAGCTCCTGGGTTCAATCCCCAGTACTGGAAAGAAAAAGAAAAAAAAAAAAAACTGGACAAAAAATTCAAAGGAAAAACAAAGCTAAAAAGAGAATATTTATCAGTTAAAGCTGGGTGTGGTGGTGCACATCTGTAATCTCTGCAGTCTGGGAGATTGAAGCAGGGAAGATCATGAGTTCAAATCCAGCCTGGGCAAATTAGTGATTTAGCAAGACCCTCTCTCAAAATAAAAAACTGAAAAGGGCCGGGGATGTAGTTCAGTGTAAAAGCCTTTGTTTCAATCCCTAATACCACCATTTAAGTATACACACACACTCACACACACTCACACACACACACACACATTCAGTTGATTATAATATATATAGATCAGATTTTAGACATTACAAATAAAGACATATATGCGTTAGAATAAAAACCCTAAAGTTCATTTTATAAGGGGCCTGAATCTCTTAGTGGTAAGAATCTCTTAGTTTTTGTATGTTGAAACTTTTTATTTTATTATAAAAGCAACACTTTTTATTTATTTTTTTAACTTTTCTTATTATATCTTTTGCCATACATAAGGAGTACATTTGTCTGGGAACTGGAACAGGCACATATCACATGTTGATCTTTTTGACTTCCTCTCTCCGCCCCACTCTCCAGTTTTCCCCCACCCCAGACCCCTCCGCATCTCCCCATTTTCTACCATCCTTCTTTTTTTCCCCAGTACCAGGGTTGAACTCAGGACCTTTCTACCACCACTCTTTTACTTTGCTCTTTATTTTTATTTTAGCCTTCTTATAAAGAGAAACTATGTGCTATTTAAGCTTGTGTTCTGATTTACCTCACTTAACACTGTGGTCTCGAGGTGCATCCATTTTCTACAAATGACTGAAGTTTTTCCTTCTTTACGGCACAGTAGTACTCCACTGTGTGTAGATAACATATTTCCTTTATCCATTCATCTGTTGATGGGCATACAGTATAGGCCACGTCCAAGCTGTAGCTATTATGAATTGTGCTGCTGTAAACATGGGTGAGTGTGTATCACTGTCATATGAGGTCTTTAACTCTTTTCGGATGATACCCAGAAGAGGTGTAGCTGGCTCAAATGGAATTCCTAGGCGTGTTTTTTTGAGGAATCTCCACACTGATTTCTAGTGGTGGTTCTAGTTTTTACATCCCCGCCAAAAGTGTAGAAGGGACCCCCTACTCTGTAGCCCTGCCAGCATTAGTTGTTTTTGAGTTCATGATGATGACCGTTCTTCCTGGAGTAAGACGGAATCTGTGTTGTTTTGATTTGCATTTGTCTAATGGCCAAAGATGCTGAACATTTTTTCATGTACTTATTAGCCATTTGCACTTCTTCTAAGAAATATCTATTCATTTCAGATACCCATTTTTTTTTTTTTGTTTTGGTGCTGGGGATTGAACTTGGGTCCTTGCACTTGCAGAGCAGGCAGCGGAACCACTGAGCCAAATCCCTGGCCCAAAACATTGTGTATCTTTTTTTTGTTTTGTTTGGTATCAGGATTGAACTCCACCTGTCCTTGCACTTGCAAGGCAGGTGCCGGAACCACTGAGCTAATTCCCTGGCCCAGATACCCATTTTTTGATTAGGTCTTCTAGTTTCCATAACGCTCTTGAATTACAATTTGGCTAAGTATGAATTTCCATCATTGTCGGCTTTCTCTCCAGTTCTGGGGGGAAAAGTGTCAGTAATTTTTCAAGCATCACTTTTCCCACTATTCCTTCTGCCGGGTTCGAGTCAGCAAACCCTGATAGTGAGAGACAGAGAATATCTTTGGGGGTAGGGTCCTCACCAGAACGGAGTGAAGCCTCGAACTGACTCAAATGCCCAGATTCAATGAGGAACAGCAAAGGAAATAGAGTTCTGCTGAGCGCAGATGTTTTATTTATTTATTATTATTATTATTTTTTTTTGAGGCAGGGTTTTGCTATGTAGTTCAGATTGGCCTTAAACTCACTATGTAGCCCATGCTGGCCTCGAACTCATGGTAATCCTCCTGCCTCAGCCTCCTGAGTGCTGGGATTCAGATGTTTTCACTATATTCTGAATGAGTTCCTCAGTTCTGCCTTCTGATTCTTTCATTTATTTTTCCCCCTAATGAATCAGTCTTGTTTTTCTCTTGGTGGTTTATTCCAGAAGTAACTACTTCTGTGGTAGATGATGAAAAGTCTAGGCACCTCTTTAGATGTTGGCATTGCTGGGGGCATAGTTTTTCCCTTTAATGCAACTTGGTATCAAAACTTTTTGTTTGTTTAGTTAATTACCTAATTAATTAATTTGTTGGTACCAGGGATTGAACTCAGGACCTTGCTCTTGCAAGGCAGGCGGTGGCACCACTGAGCTAAATCCCAGCCTTATTTACATTTTTGTTTTGTTTTTGGAGACAGGGTCTCACTATGTAGTTGAGACTGACCTGGAACTCACTATGTAGCCCAGGCTGGTCTCACAGCGATCCTCTTGCCTCAGCCTCCTGAGTGCTGGGATTACAGGTGTGCAGTACCAGGTCCGGCTTATATTTACTTATTTTGTGATACAAAGTCTTGCTTTACAGTTTAGGTTGGCCTTCAACTCATTATGTAGCCTAGGCTGGCCTTGAACTTGCATGATCCTCCTGTCTCTGCCTCCTGAGAGCTGGGATTGCAGGTGTGTGTCACCATGCCAGGCCCAGTTTATTTTAAAAATTTATTTCATGATTTTTTTGGTGTGGAACTGGAAATTGACCCCCAGGCCTTCACATTGAGCTACATCCCTAGCTTTTTAAAACATTTTTGAATCAGGGTCTGGTATGCCATTAAATTGCCCAGGCTGGGTTTGAATTTGCAATCTGCCTGCCAGAGAGTTCTGGGATTACGAGCATGCAGTATTACACCTGGCTTTTTTGTTTCTTTTTCTTTTTTTTTTTTTTTTGGTGCCGGGGATCGAACTTGGGTCCTTGAGCTTGTGAGGCAGGTGGAGGAACCACTGAGCTAAATCCCCAGCCCTTTAGTTTCATTTTTTGTGATGCTGGGGATGGAACCTAAGACCCTGTGCATGCTAGGTGGTTGCTCTGTCAGTGAGCTATACCCCCCAACTCAGAACTGCAACTTTTTCGGTCTTTGTTTTTGAGATAGTATTTTGCTTTGCAGTTCAGGCCGGCCTCGAACTTGTGGCAATCCTCCTGGCTCAGTCTCTTGAATGGTGAGATAATACATGTGCGCCACCACACCAGGCAGAATTACTTTTCTTCCCATTTCCCAACATCCACCTTATAGTGTTCAAATGGGAAGAGGAACAGGGGAAGAGGAGGGAGAGGGAAGGGAGTGAAAATAGAAGGAAAAATGGAAACAACACTTTTGGAGGGGATGGGATAAAATAAATAAAGTTTATAGATTAAAAAAAAGAATTACAACTTTTAATTCTTGCTTTTTATTTCCAGTCCAGAAATTTTCTCTATAGAACTGAATTTACGCTTTGAGGGTATTCAATGTAGTCTCCCTCTGAAGGCATTTTAAATTTCAATTAGGGTACTTTTGTATTTCAAAAATTTCTTGGTTCTTTTTCATATTGTTTCATTTCTCCCTATTTTTATTTACTAATTCCCTTTTGAAATGGAAGGTATGCATTCATCTCTGAACATCTTCAACATACTAAAGTCTTTTACAAAACCCCAGGGGAAATTTCTGGTTAAACTGTAGATTTTTTTCTTTGATTATTTTTGGCTCTTTGAGAGTAAGTCTCACTGTGTAGCCCAGGCTGGCCTTGAATTCATGATACTCCTGCCTCGGCCTTCCGTGTGCTGGGGTTACAGGCGTGTGCTGGAATGCCTGGCTACTTGTTAATTTCAAAGACTGACTTTTGCACCAATAGGAACTTTCTTTCTTTCTTTCTTTCTTTTTTTTATTTTTTGAGACAGGGTCTCACTATGTAGTTGAGACTGACCTGGAACTCACTATGTAGCCCAGGCTGGTCTTGAACTCACAGCGATCCTCCTGCCTCAGCCTCCCAAGTGCTAGGATTATAGGCGTGTGCCACCAAGCCTGGCTCTACCAGTGGGAACTTCCTAATTATGGTTCAAAGTTCTTAAAAATTAAATTAAAACTTTTTTGTGTGAAGCTGGAAATTGAAACAAGGGTTTTGTACAGGCTATGCAAACATTCCAGCACCAAGCTATTTCCCCTGCTATTTTGTTTTTATTTTACTTTCAATTTTTAGTGGTACTGGGAATTTAAACCCATACCTTCACACTTAACGACATCCTCCGCCCTTTTTATTTTTTATTTTGGGACAGATTCTTACTAAGTTGCCCAAGCTGGGCTCAAACTTGTGATGTCTTTTCTCAGCCTCCCAGAGTGCTATGATCACAGGAATGCACCATTGTGCCTGCGTTTGTTTTTATTCTGAGAGAGGATCTTGCTACATTGCCAGACTGGTCTTCAAACTGCCCTCCTCCTGCCTCAGCCTCCAGCATAGCTGAGATTATCAGTGCTCTTTTTGTGAGAGGAAGTATTTGTCTAGTTTCTCACTTTCTCCTCACCCTTCCCAGGATGCCTCTGTCTGGCCTTTGTGCTTGAAACTGCAATCAGGGTTGAGCATGAGATTATCTTCCTCTGGTTAAGAGGAATGCGGTGGGTCCAGTTTTGGGAGCCTGACGCCTTCCTTGACTGGTCTGGTAGCAAGGAGTCCTCTTTGGTCCTCATTTCCCTAGGCTGTGAGAAAGCTGCAGTCCACAGACTGACACCATTTTCTGTACCTTTTCTGCATAGGCTGTGGAGCCCATTCTGCCTTCTGGGACCAAACTGGGGGCCTCAGCCTCCCCATTGTGTGGGGCCCTGGACCCCTGCAGGGCGGAATTGCACTCAGCTGCCGGTGCCCAATTTCCAGAGCCCCACAAGCCTGAAGCTTTAGCTCTACCCTCTTATTGTGTGTCCAGTCTGTTTTTGGTTCATAGTATAAGAGCCTGACTGAACCAGAGCGACTCCATGTTGACCAGCAAATGACCTAGAGACTGTTGTTCCCCCCCATCCCTTATAGGATAACTAATGATTAATTGTGAATTGTTAGGTAACTGCTTTGAAGTAGCTGGGAAACTAAATGGAAACTATAGTGAACACAGAGACCCAACACAAATCACGCCACTCCTTACTTGCCTGTAGTTGAATGTTCTGAACATTATAATCTAAGTTGTAAATGGAATAATGGATAATCGCTCTGCTGATCATTAGTACGTGACGGTCAAGTATATGCTTGATGACCACTAGCTCAGATCCACTGATTCTTTGCCTTTGTCCTCTTCCTGTAAGTTTTAAGTGTAAACCCCCCTTAGCCCTATATAAAATGGCCTCTGTTTCTGAGCTAGCCGCCTCTCTGAGCTACTTGGCTTGGGGAGTGCCGTCTGGCCAGGCTAATAAAGGTCTATTTGCCAACTTGCCTGGTGTTCTCCTTCCTGTGTGACTCTCGCTGTCCGACAAGCTCCTGGAGCCTCGCTGAGCTTCTGAGCCCAGCGTTGTGGAAGCCTCTTGGCTGTTCACGCTGCAGGAGTAAAAGTGAGACTTAAGTCTTACAATAGGGATTTCTAAAAATCTAGCTATTCTTTTTCTTTTTTTTTATACAGGGATTGAACTCTGGACCTTGTGCTTGTACTTCCTGTGTGACTCTCGCTGTCCGACAAGCTCCTGGAGCCTCGCTGAGCTTCTGAGCCCAGCGTTGTGGAAGCCTCTTGGCTGTTCACGCTGCAGGAGTAAAAGTGAGACTTAAGTCTTACAATAGGGATTTCTAAAAATCTAGCTATTCTTTTTCTTTTTTTTTATACAGGGATTGAACTCTGGACCTTGTGCTTGTAAAGTAGGCAGCAGCACCACTGAGCTAAATCCCCAGCCCAAAGATTGTTTTTGGTACCAGCGATTGAACTTGGGTCCTTGGGCTTTGAGGCAGGTGGCAGAACCACTGAGCTAAATCCTGAGCCCCCAGCTATCTCTTTTTAAAATGCCTTATTTATTTATTCATTTATTCACTCATTCATTTTTATTTTATTTTATTTTGGTACCAGGGATTGAACTCAGGACCTTGAGCTTGTGACCCAGGTGGTGGAACCACTGAGCTAAATCCCCAGCCCCACTCTTTTTTTTTTTTTTTGGTATCAGGCTCGAACTCGGCACCTTGTGCTAGCAAAGCAGGCAAGGGCACCGCTGAGCTAAAACCCTGGCCCACCCACTCATTCATTTTAAAAAATTTATTTAGACAGGTTCTTGCTGCACAGTTCAGGCTGTCCTTGAATTCACTGTGTAGCCCAGGCTGGCCTTGAACTTGTGGCAATCCTCCTGCCTCAGCCTCCCAAGAGCTGGGATCACAGAGGGCGGCACCACACTTGGTGCTCTCTAAATTTCCAAATCCAGCATATGTTTCTCTGTCCTAGTCTTACTTGACTCTTTGTCAGCTTTTGACAACACTGTTCCTCAAATGTTACTCTGCACCCGGGCCTGGTAAATCTCAAGTATACTCCCAGCACCACAACACCCAGTTCAACTTCCAGATTTCCAACTTCCAGTTTCCAGCCTAGATGTCCACTCTGTCCCACATGTCACTGTTATGATTCCTTATCCATGTCTCATAAATATCTTCAATTTAATATGTTCACAATAAAACTCTTAGCTGGGCTCTGGGGCACACATGCACAATTTCAGCTACTCAGAAGGTTGAGGCAGGAGGATTACTTGAGTCCAGGAGTTTGGCGACAGCCTAGGCAACCTAGTGAGACTCCTATCTCAAAAACTTAAATAACCTGCCTTGAAAGCACAAGGTCCCGAGTTTGATCCTGATGCCTGTGGGTAACACTTTCTGGCCTTTGGGCCCCTTCCCACACCCAGATGGACTTGCGGAAGAAGGCTGGCTTTTTGTTTGTTTGTGTTTGAGACAGGGTCTTACTCTGCAGTTCAGGCTGGCCTTGAAATGCTAGGTACCCCAGGCTGGCCTTGAACTTGCAGCGATCCTCCTGCCTCAGCCTCCTTTGTGGTGCGGATTACAGGCACGTACCACAGTGCCTGGCCAACAAGATCTTTTAAATATACTTTTTCATCTATCGAATTCTCTTTTTAGTTTTCGTTTTTTTTGAGACAGGGTCTTACTATGTAGCTGAGACTGACCTGGAACTCACTGTGGAGCCCAGGCTGACCTCGAACTCATTGTGGTCCTCCTGCCTCAGCCTCTCGAGTGCACATTTTACCTTTGAATCCAGTTCTTTATATATTTATTTATTTATTTTTTGGCTTTTGAGACAGGGTCTCACTATGTAGTTGAGACTGACCTGAAACTCACTGTGGAGCCCAGGATGATCTGAAACTCACAATGATTCTCCTGCCTCAGCCTCCCAAGTGCTGGGAATACAGGCGTGTGCCACCACACCCAGCTGGATCCAGTTCTTTATGAACACAGTCTGTGTGTGCCAGTAGTTAAATATTCACCTATTTTTAGTATAGCTGAGTATGTATGCTTATAGAAATATATATGTTTGCCTATTTTATTGTGTCAAATGGCCTACGAAATGTCTGTTTTCTATGTGTTTCTCAAATACCCTTTTAAAGATGTAAATGGGGTGGGGTTATAACTCAGCAATAGCCTACATGCTTAGCCTGTATGAGGTCCTACATTTAATCTCCATCAACAAGAAAAAAAAAGTGTGGATATCATTTAAAGAATTAATCCAGGTGTGGTGGTGCACATCTGTAATCCTAGCACTCAGGAGGCTGAGGCAGGAGGATCACTGTGAGTGTATGAAGTCAGTCTGGGATACATAGTGAGTTTGAAGCCAGCTTGAACTACATAAGGGAAACCTTGTTACAAACAACAAATTCTGAAAAAAAAAAATTAAAAATTCTTTGTTGTTGTCTGTTGTAGGGCCCACTGAAGCCCAGATCCGGTTGGGCCAGCAGCCTTAATTCTCTCTGATTTTCTACCTTCAGGTGAGTGGCTGGGCCCAATTCATGAAACTGGGAAACCAGAGGAGATTAGTGGAACTGGTCCCACTGGTGGCTCATCGATGACCAGGGTGCGGCTTGCCCTGGAAAGGACTCAGATGAAAACTGTGTGTCAGGGTCTTCTTGAGTGTTTCAGCGGGGACACCATCAGGCCCTTTTGCTCAGCTCCTTGGATGCCTTTTGCAGCTAACCAACCTTCTTGCTGGCTGTTAGCACAAACCATGGCTGTACGTCCAGCTGCCCCTGCTGCGGGCCTGTGGCTGACAGGCTGTCCCCTGTGGCTGAGCCAGGGGACCACAGAGAACCTGTACATGTGTTTTGTTTGGCTCCTTGGGGTTATGTTTTTGCTTTCAGAATTGAACTGCTTGTCCAAGTCTAAAACTTGACAGGTTCTTCTTATGATTCAAATTTCTGGCTGTTAGGCAAAAGGAAAAGAAGAAACAGTAGAATGAGCTGAATAGGACAGGTTATTACAGAACAAACCTCAGAGGGACCACTCTGGCTGCTCTCCTACAGGCTGCTGGGTGTTTTGTAGTCACGGGGAGGGGGAAGTTCGGTGAGAGGGGCTGTGGCTCCCTGCCAAGAACAAGGCTTGAGAGAGCACAAGTGGTCCTGGTTGCCCAAGGAGGAGGCTTGGGAAAGCTCAGGGGCTGCTGACAATACAGGGCCCAGGTGCAGCTGTGCGGGGAGGGGAGGTTTGCAGGGGCCTCTGCTCAGGATGGCGGTGGTTGTATTCGATGCCTTCATTGGCTTCTCTTGAAAAATGGAAGATTTGGTAACTGAAGCTGGCTTCCCTTCTGGCACCACCATCCAGGTCTGGCTGGAGACCTTCCCTTTGTACGGGACCCCCAGTCCTAGAGCCTTGTGAGCTCACCTGGCTCTGGAGTCATTTCACCCAGAGGTACAGCACCCAGACACCCGCTTTGGGCCTGACAAAGAATACAGCCATGGGTGCTCTGTCCCCCTGGGCTCTGCACTTCCCCTATATGAGAAATGTTATCAGCAGGCCAGGGCTTCCTGCAGATTTATCTTCTCTCAGATTTTATTTATGTATTTACTTTTGTTTTTTTGAGACAGGGTCTTGCTATGTAGTTCAGGCTGGCCTTGAATTCTCAGTGATCCTCCTGCCTCAGCCTCCCAGGTTCTGGGATTACAGGCCTGTACCACCACGCCAGGCTCAAGGATGTTTCTCATATTGTCAGTTAGTCCTCATTTTAGGATTGAGGGGACGGATCTCTATTTGAAATTTGTCTTTCGGCACTGTTTCTAGATTCTTTAAAGTCTAAGGGAATTCTGAGAGGACAGAGGGACACTCTCTACAACTCCCATAATATATCAAGTATAATTAATGCTCAATTTATTAAACTTATGTGCTCACCAAACAAAACTTGGAAAATAAATTTTTTTTTTTTTTTTTTTTTTTTTGGTTTTTTGAGACAGGGTCTCACTATGCAGTTCAGACTGATCTGGAATTCACTATGTAGCCCAATCTGGTCTTGAACTCACAGAGATCCTCCTGTCTCAGCCTCCCCATATCAAGTATAATTAATGCTCAATTTATTAAACTTATGTGCTCACCAAACAAAACTTGGAAAATAAATTTTTTTTTTTTTTTTTTTTTTTTTGGTTTTTTGAGACAGGGTCTCACTATGCAGTTCAGACTGATCTGGAATTCACTATGTAGCCCAATCTGGTCTTGAACTCACAGAGATCCTCCTGTCTCAGCCTCCCCAGTGCTGGGTCACAGCGATCCTCCTGCCTCAGCCTCCCGAGTGCTGGGATTACAGTTGTGTGCCACCATGCCTGGCTGAAAATAAAAATTTCTTAAAGCACAGTTTTACATTTAAATCCTGATTATAAATTATCTTTCTTTTGGACGAAAAGAATACAAAGCCCGAGTCATAAAATCTGCCAAACATTAGGAAAGACTTCAACATGCAGGTAAGTGATGCATATGGAACCCCAAACAGCCACAACCTGAAGAGAATCTTTCCACATAATGTCATAGTCAAAATATCAAAGGGGCTGGGGATTTAGCTCAGTGGTTCCGGTGCCTGCTTTGCAAGTGCAAGGACCTGAGCATGATCCCTGATACCAAAAAAACAAAAAGAACAGCAACAAAAAACCCAAACAAAATATCAAAAGTCCAGCCAGGCATGGTGGCGCACACCTGTAATCCTAGCACTTGAGAGGCTGTGGCAGGAGGATCACTGTGAGTTCGAGACCAGCCTGGGCTACATAGTGAGTTCCAGGTCAGTGTCAACTACATAGTGAGACCCTGTCTCAAAACACCAAAAAAAAAAAAAAAAAAAAAAAAAAAATCAAAAGTCCAAAGCAGGAATAGAATTTGAAAAGCTCTTAGAGAAAAGCGACAAATAACTTATAAAGGTGAAACCACTAGAATTATAGCAGACCACTCCACACAAACCTTAAAGGTGAGGAGGGCTGGGAGCGAAGAGTTTCAAGCTCTACATGATAACACTTTCCATACCAGTTTTATATATCCTGAGAAACTTTCTTCCAAAATTGATGGAGAAATATGACAAAGAAATTCGTGAACAGCAAACTAGCACTACAAAAATTTTCGAAGGATATCCTAGCAAGAGACAATGAAACCCGAGATGGGAAGGAACTGAATAGAATGAATGCACCAGGCAAGGTGAAAAGTCAAGCAAGGGCGGGGAGAGATCAGCAAGAGGAAAATAGCGCAAGGACAGGAATAAGACAGTATCTGAAGTAGTAACTCTCAGTATGACTAGTCTCAATTCCCCAATCGTAAGAAACAAAGCCAACAACTGCCATACGCAAGAAACACATTTAATCAGAGAAAGAAATACACACATTAAAAATTTTAAAAATGGAAAACAATATTTCATGCACCTGGAACTTGGAAAAACCGGGAGCATCTTTTCTTATTTCAGACAAAGTGGATTTCAAGCCAAAACTGATCAAGAGAATCAAAGAAGGTCACTACATAGTGGTTAAGGGGATAATCCAACAGGAAGGGATGACACAGTTATGAACATGTTATAAACATGATCTAACAAATGGCTGCACCTAACTTCATAAAACAAACTCTACTAGAAATAAAAAATTAGATAAATACCAATACAACTGAAATGGGACACCTAATAGCCCACTGTCACAAACAGACAAGAAATTAACAAAGAAATATCAGAGCTGAGCCAACTCAGTGTTGCCGCTGCCTGCTTCACAAGCACAAGGTCCTGAGTTAGATCCCTGGTACCCAAAAAAAAAAAAAAAAGAAAAGAAAAAGCCTTTAACAAACTCCAACATTCTTTTATGATAAAAATCCTGAAGAAGTAGGTATAGAAGGACCTTATCTGAATGTGATAAAAGCTACTTATGACAAACCAATGGCCAACATAATTTTTTTTTGTACCGGGGATCAAACTTGAGTCCTTGTGCTTGCAAGGCAGGCGGCAGAACCACTGAGCTAAATCCCCAGCCCCTAGGACCTTGTGCTTTCCAGACAAGTGTGGCATCACTGAGCTCCCTGGCCCATGGCCAATATCATTTTAAATAGGGAAAAGCTAAAACCTTTCCCATAAAATCAGGAATAAGACAAGGTGTCACTGTCACTGTCAATATAGTTTTTGAAACATTGTCTAGAGCAATCAAATAAGAGAAAGAAATAAAAGGGTTATATATAGGAAAGGAATAAGTGAAATTATCATAACTTGTAGATGACATGATCCTCTGCATAGAAGACCCCAAAATTCCACAAAAAACTCCTAGAATAATGAAACTCTAACTTGGCAGGATACAAAGTCCACACATAAAAAATTTAGTAAAGATACTATATGCCAATAATAAATTAACCAAGAAGCTTCTTTTTTTTTTATGGTACTGGCAACTGAACTCAGGACCTTGTGCTCTCAAGGCAGGCAGTGGTACCACGGCGTTAAATCCCCAGTCCAATAAATTAACCAAGAAAGAAATTAGGGAAATAATACTTTTCACAATATCATCAAGAAAAAGTGCTAGGTCCTAAAGACCTAAGAATTAACCTAACCAAGGAATAAAAAGACTTCTGTAATGAAAACTACAGTAGTCAGGAAAAGGAGATCACAGAGGACATCAGAAAATGGAAAGACATGTAAAACCAATAGAGTCCAAATGGCCCTACTTCTAACATTGATATTGCAAATTTAATGCAATCGCGATCCAAATTCCAACAGCATTCCTTACAGAACTAGAAAAAACAAACCTAAAATGTATGTGGAGCCAGAAGAGACCTAGAATAGCACAAACAATCCTGGGTACCAAGAGCAAAGTGGAGGCATCACAATAAAAACAGTGTGGTATCGGCAACAGAACAAAATAAAAACTCCCCACATGTGGGTCAGTGGAACAGAACGGGATACAGAGCTTCAGGTACACTCAGCTATGTCATCTTTGACAAAGAGGCCAAAAAGGCAGCCTCTTTAACAACTGTTGCTGGAAAAGGGGCTACACATGCAGATGACTGAATCTAGACTCATATCTCTCACCAGGTACTAAAGTGAAATCCAAATGAATCAAAGACCGAAGAATTAAAACAGAAACAATCTGCTAGAAGGTAAACTAGGTAAAATTGTTAAAGACATAATTGTAGGCAAGGACTTTTTGAACAGAATGCCAATTGCTCAAGAGACAACAACAAAAATCGAGAAATGGGAATCGCTTAAGATCAAGTGAACAATCAAGAAATGGGAACGCATCAAATTAACCATCTTCTGCGTAACAAAGCAAACAACCCACAAAGCAAGGAGACAACATACAGAATGGGAGAAAATTTTTTTCCAGCTATTCACTTACACAGAAAGAAGACTGACATCTAGAATAAAGACCTCAAAAGCATTAGGTCCCCTTACAATAAAACATTCAATCCAAAAATGGGGACCTGAAATGAATAGACCCTTCTCACAATAAGAAGTACAAATTTCTAATGAATGTATGGAAAAGTGCTCAACACCTCTGGCACTTAGGGAAATGCCAATTAAAACATACCTAGATCCTGCCTTACTTCAGAAAGAATGGCTATTGTCAAGACATCAGATAGCAACAGAGGAAAAAGGAACCCTTCTTCATCGGTGGTGGGAATGTAAACTAGTACAACAATTATAGAAACCAGTATGAAGGTTCTTTAAAAAAAAAACCAAATCACAAGAAATTCCATTTGCCTTCACTATCCTCTGCATAGGTATTTTCTTGAAGGAGTTAAAGCCTACCTATTACCATGCTACACACTTACTCATGTTTACAGGAGCACAGTTCTTTTATTTTTATTTTTTCCTGTGAGACAAAGTCTCACTGCACAGTTCAGGGTGGGCTTGAATTCACTGTGCAGCCCAGGTTGGCCTCAAACTCACTGCACTCCTCCTGCCTCAGTCTCCTGCATGCTGGGATTACAGGTGTGCACCACCACGCCAGGCAGCACAATTCCTTTTTTTTTTTTTTGGTACCAGGGATAGAACTCAGGACCTTGCGCTTTTGAAGCAGGCACCACTGAGCTAAATCCCTGGCACAGCATAATAATTCTTTTTTTTTCTTTTTGGTTTTTTGAGACAGGGTCTCACTATATAGTTCAGACTGCCTTGGAATTCACTATATAGCCCAGGCTGGTCTTGAACTCATAGCGATCCTCCTGCCTCAGCCTCCCTAGTGCTGAGATTACAGGTGTGTGCCACCACGCCTGGCCACAATTATTAAAAGCTAAATCTTGGAAGTGTCCTCTATGTTCATCTATAGATGAAGGACAGAGAAAATGTGTTTTTTACACACAGTAGAGTACTACTCTGCCATAAAGAAAGACTGAAAGAAACCGGCACGTATCTTATATTCCTCCCTATTTTGTTATAGCCTCGGGAAGAGGGACAGAGTATCTCTCTTCTGTAGCTACTTCCTGCTGAAAAGCGGCAGATGTGGGGTGATGAGAGGCCGAGGGAGGGATCTCTAGCCTCTCATCTCTTACCCTTTCGGGGTGACGTAGCTGTTGGAGGGCTGCTTGTTTAGGAGCTTCGAGGAGGGCAATGACGGCGAATTTGTGGGAGTGATGGGGGCTGATCCGGGCGTGTATAGTAGCTTGAGGGGCAGCACAACCTTGGAGAGGGGGGGCCTGAAATGGCGAAGAAAGATTTGAGTTAGATGTATCCTGAAAGTACCATACACACACACACATACACACACACACACACACACACACGGCAGGTGGAGGGGGCCTTCCCTGGCAATAATCAAAAATAATAGCACCATCAAGGAGTTAAATGCATAATTTCTTCCTTTTAATCGGGGAGCATGTGTAACTGGGAGGATGACTGGATGGCAGAACAGACGGACCAAAAATCTAGTGTGGAAGTTGGGTGGGAACCAGGCATGATTTATATTTCCCAGGTGCCAGCTGGGGGCCATAAGCTTTTTTTTTTTTTTTTTTTTTT